GCCGGATCCGGAACTGGACGCCCCCGTCGATCGATGCGCGTGCAGAGGGGCCCCGTTTTCAAGTTCCCATGTCGTGGGCTCCCAGGCGCGCCGACGCAAAGCAGTTTGTCGATCAGGTGGTGCATAACTGCCGCTGTGCTTCAACGCACGGTCCAGGCCTCGGCTGCTCTCCGATGTCCGCGCCCTTACGGAGCGCGACCGAGGTGGTGGGCGGCGCGGCTCGCTGGGACGCTCACGGCTGGCAGCGGTCGGCGGTCCACCGCAGGCACCACCGGCAGGCGATCCTCCGCCTGCATCCTCGTCATCAGGGTCAGAGGCAGGGCCATTCTGAGGATCACCTCCAGTTCATCATCCATGTTCTTCAAACTCATCGAGCGCGCGAATATCATAGATCTCGCTACCCATTCACAAAAAATCTGCATTCGCATCCGCATGGCGCTGATGATCTCAACCGAAGGGTTCCAGGATGCCGCAGTCAGTACCGTCGAACCGAATTCGACGGGAGACGTACGGCCACCACACATGAGGTGGCGCTACAGGAGTGACTCCTCCGCGATATGTAGCGGGGGGTTCTGAATGCGCTTGGATGTTCATCCACCAAATGCCGAGCGTTCGTGCATTTTCTGGTGGAAATAATCATGTACATCCGACGGTGCAACGGCACCCAGTCCTGAGGGGCGCCAAGCAAAGACGGCATGGCTTCTTCACTGCGAAATTGCACATCCGCGGGTCGGAGTTTTTTTGGATTCAGTGTTAATGGTTCGCTTATCTGTCAAGCGACCCTGCGCAAATTTCACGACTTTCAAGGTCTGCGGACGACCACGGACATTGTCCCTGGCACCCGCGTTTACCACTGGGTTGTCCAAGCAGTTCCCACGCCGTGGCTGGCCAGCTGCGACGGGGGTTTCTGAGTAACGGCTCGTACAGAATAGGAGGCTTGCAATGCAAGCAATGCATCACACCCAGACGATTCCTGCATGCGTTGGAGCAAACGAGGTAGCCGTCATCCCAGGGCGCCGGCAGAGGCATTTTCATGTTGAAGTCTTTTGAAGCCAGGACGTCGCTGTCATCGCCGCTCTGGGCAAAGACATTTGTTTTGATTCGCGGGTCGAGAGCGCACCTCTTCCGGTCAAAGCTAAGCAGGCCGCGCACAGCTTGAATTAACGAGGGGGGGGCAGAAGGAGGGGCCTCACGTCAAGGCCAGGAGGGGGCAAAGCCCCCGGGTCAGGCGGTGCCGAAGACGATGTTCTTGCGAAGGAACGCCTGAGACAGGAACCTGGCGGCGAAGTACCGGAAGAAGCAAAATGCTGTGGTTGGTGGTGCCATCAACGGCGCGTCATGTGCACCAGCCTCAAGTGGCGGCGGGAAAGGACTCGACTTGTATCCACGAGGCGTCGACCAGGGAGGGTAAAGAGCATCGCTGAGCCGCAACGCAACGTTGTACCACCGAACAGGATGTGGGAGCGGGTGACCCAGGCCGTGGCTGTCCAAGGTGCAACGGATCCAGGGCACGGGAGCCGCAGCCTGAGGCGCGGCAGTCACGACATGCCAGGAATATGCCGCCTATAACGACCGACAGGGTGCCGGTGTGCAGCAGGAGGTGGAAGCCTGCCCTGCAGTGGCGAGCGCGTGAGATCGGGCCGAAGCCGCATAGGACTCACGTAAACAACACACAGGGAAGTCTCGTTCGGTCGTACCCATGCGCCGTGGAAGCGGCGGTCGTACACCACGGTCAACGACACTGTCGGGACCCGTACGTCGGCAACAATAATGCGCATTATTTGACGTGCATCACCCCAATGACGGCGAAACTCAGTAACAAGGGGGCCGTCTGACATGACTCAGAAAACGGTCGCATCAGCCGCGATGACACCGTCACCAGGTATTGACCCGACAACTTAGCTGGGTTATCCACATCAGACACACACGCGTCAAGGCCTTCTGCTGAGATCGCTCGAGACCATCGATTCAGTCGAAGCCGCCCGGGAAACTGGTTCAGTGGGTCGGCCAGGTTTCCAGCCAGGTGCCTATCTACGAGCGCAATGCCACCGCTAGAACGGTCTTCGTCAGTCTCGGTGACACTGTCATCGGGGAAAGGGAAATCTCTGAGCTGCGTCGGGACAGCTGACATGAACTTGCGTTGCCCGTTCGAACGAATATCTCGTCCTGGAGCAACCAGTCTATCAACCATGGACTGAATGGTACCTGGGAGGTCAAGAGGTAACACCATAGCCGCTGGCATGCCTCTATCGAAAGGCTCGCATCGGAAGTATACCCGCTACGGGGAGACCACTCGTAGTGAGTGGCCCTCAGTGGCACGGAACGCAATAGGCAGGACCAACGGCCCTTCAATGCCTGCCCCGAGAAAGGCACCGCCATCGCGGGGCCGATTTCTTCAAAAGCTGTCGTCCCGATATCGTGGTGTAGCAACGGCGGGCTCATCATCGTTCGCTACCTTACTCCAAGGACGTGCACTACCTGCTTGAGCAAAGTACCCAAGGCATGCAGCTAACGGGCCCAGGGGCTATCGGCCTCCACCGCCTCCACCCAGCCGCGCGCGCTGAGAACGTCTACTGCGCTGTGCTTGACTGCGTCAAGGAGCAGAGCGCCCGATCGCACGGCCTCCTCCGACGGAGTCTTAGGGACAAGGCCGTGAGCCTTCGAGGGTGGGTCCTTTCTTTGAATCGCGTTGCAAAGCGCCCTGAGGAATCGTCTGCCGCCGTGCGGTCTGCGTCGGCTATTTCTCGAGGGAGTTCCGGGAGCGCGTCACCAGCAAATTGCAAATCATCGTTTGTGACCCAATCCATAAGGTCATCACGCGGCGAGGAAGAGCGATCTGGGCGAGGGACGGGCAGAGCAGGGCCAGCACTGTGCGCGGCTTCGAGCCTTCGCGCAACAGTCGAATCGACCATCAGCAAGACCTCTTCCTCTTACGCCTGTGTCGTCAGTAGCTGAGTGTCCTGTCCGTGCGCGTACTCGGCACTTTGCCTCTCTTCGCGCGCTCTGACTCGCAATTCAACTCCCTGAGTGATTATTTGGACATTCGCGCGCCCCTCGGTGGGTTTGGCGGGGCATAGACGAAGGTACCCCCGTCTGAACACCTCGGGCAAGACGTCGGCGCGCACGCTGAAAGAGATTGGATCTGCAGGGGCATACCCCATGTCGGGGCTCAGTTCGGGCAGCGAAACTGGAGCCGTAAACACCGCGATGGCACTGTCACCAAGATTGGGAGGAGGCGCCCGCTGTTCCGCTGGAATCTCTACGTCCAGCCCCGGTTGAGCTTCTGACTCTCACTCATCGTCCTCCCGCGACTCTGCGTCGCCTGTCACAGTTTGCAGCGATACGCAGGCGCGCTTCGCGGAAACGCATCCCTCCCCAGTCGGCTGCGCCACTGGCGGATCCGACGTTCTCCACCGGCGAGCTCAGCTAAGCTGACGGGCCCCAATTCGAATCCTGCCCCGGTTCTTCAGGCGTCGGCAGCGCATGCTCCCTGGCACGGCCAGGCTCTGCCGTGGCCCTAGGCGGCGGGCTCAGGGGCGTCCGCGAGAGCACATCCCTGGCGCGGACACGCGACGCTTTGGCTTTGGCCTCGTCCGTCGGGCTTGCGGAGAAGATTGTCGGCGAGACGCAGTCGGTACAACTGTCCTCTCCGTCGGAGTGCCCAAGGACGCTGCTCTGTCTGGCTCGCGAGCGTTGGGCACACCATCACTCATAGATGTTGCGCTCTTCCGCTGCTATCTTGTCGTCGGGATTTCGCGTTCGCGCATTCGCCCATTGAGAGTGCGCCCTCTGCTGCGGCGTACGAATGTCGATGTGAATGGCAGTGGGCGTGATTCATATACGACATACGATGACATGCCGCCTTGTGCCGCCCTGTGTCACGTCAAACACTGCAGCACAAAAGTGACTTCCCAATTTTGGGCACATATAGACCTGCCACGGAAGCACCGCGAACCGGCTGGGCCCGGCACTCCTGCGTTGAAAGTTTAGAGAGGCTTCCTCCATCGGGTGCGGCTGATTGTCAGGAGGAGAGGGCCTGAGGTCGCGTGAATGGTCGTCTATCATGGGGACAAACGGAATCCACGCATTGACCACATAACTCGGCTCGAAGAGAAACCAGTCAAGCCCAGAGCCCCCAAAGAAGTCTCAGAACTGCAACCGATCAGCCGACGTCGAACGACTGGAAGCCGGCGGTAAACCGTCACACTTGGCTTTTGCTTTGCTCGGAGCCCACAGGGACAGAGGAGTCCCCGCTCAAGATTCAGGTCCGCAGCAGCGGAGCAGATGCTCGCCATCCAACACGAAGCATCCACGACTCGCCAAAAGCGAGACAGCGGACAACCTACAAGGGATGCTAGTTAGTAAACGTCTCACCACGGGGAGTGCACAACAAGGCGAAGCCTTAGAATATGACATGAAGCAACATGTGCAGAAGCCACATTACACTAAAGCGGTCAACACTTACGCAACTCCAGTATGCAAGAGGTTACCAACACGAAACTTTGGATACACATGATTATTGAGGGAGATCCACACTGTTCCGAAATCAGCCACAGCCGACCAACAGGCAGACCAAACGTTTGGAAGGGAAGGAAACACCCTAACCGTATATATGCGAAGTCCCAAGAAGAAAAGGTCCCATTGGGCAGAAAAGGGTCGCTTCAACCCGTGCTGAGTTTTGGGAGCCAGTTCAATAACGTTTCAACCAACACAGCGATAACTCTAATCCATCGTCTCCAATAGGCGTCCAAGGAAGTGTTGTGCGAGAGACCGATAATGAATAGCAAGCCCATCGTGTGCGACTATGTCCTGGAGGGTTCGGAGCATGTCGGGATAGCATCCATACTCGAGGAGGTCAGCCCATTCGTGCAAGAAATGATCCCTCTCCTCCTGAGGGCAGCTTGTGTAAGCCGCTAAGAAGTCGACAACCCATTCAGTCTGCGCACTTTCGAACTCACTATCACTCGATTCCCCATCGTCATGGTATTTTGGAAACAACATCATGTACGCTCGCAGTCGACTCGGGTCCACATGTGGCCTCGGAAGGAGATGCTGGCATACATCCTCAAACATCTCCTCAAACATCTCCTCACACATCTCCTCAGGATCTCTGTCTTCCACTGTTGGGTCCGCACTCGCTCCAACCTCGGACGAAGCTTGATTGGAAGAAACTTGATTGGAGCAAACTGGATTGGAAGAACCTTGATTTGAAGCTCCAACCTCTGTCGAAGCGCCAACCTCTGACGAAGCTCCAACCTCTGACGAAGCTTCCACTGTTGGGTCCGCACTCGCACCAACCTCTGACGAAGCTCCAACCTGGTTTGAAGACACTTGATTGGAAGAACCTTGATTTGAAGGACTGCCCTGGTTGGAACAACTGCCCAATTGATTTGAAGAAACTTGATTGGAAGAACCTTGAATTGAATAACTGCCATGATTTGAAGCACTGCCCTGGTTTGAAGAACGGCCATCGCTTTCCTCTCGCCCCCTCTTGTCGCCTCTTTCCCTGCCTGAAACTCGAGCGGAAGAACTGCCCACCACTGGACCGCTAGGCCTGAAAACTTGAGCGGAAGAACTGAGGCCGTCAGAGTGCACCTGCGAAGGACCAACATGTTCGCCGAGGGCACCAGCCAGATAGATTGTGGCGGGAGCGCGTGTGGTGTCGAACGGAACGGTAAACAAGCTAAAGTCCACCTCAATCTGCCTCCAGGCAGCCAGAGTCAATCTACGGGTCTTGCGCTTCCAACTGATCGATTTGGGACCAGACACGGGGGACAGAGTAGGGGAAGTATGAGTGTTGTAACATGCATGCCAGTCGTGACTTATCTGAGACCGCTCACTTGAGTATGAATACCAAGGGGGTCCACCAAGAGAAGACAACATCGATTAGAGAATAAAAGAAAACTGCAACCAATCTTGAGATCTGTTATCTGTAATGCGTCCTGAGTGCACAACAAATCCACACACGATTGAAAACGGGCAAACGCAAGAGGGTGAAAGCTGAGCGAGCCCTCCACACGCGGGCTGATTGAAAACTGGCAAGAGTGCAGAGATCGGGCACCGTGATGGCTGTCACGGAGTCTGCGCTTGACTGCGTGTGTGCCCTCGTAACGTAAGCGAAACACAAGCTTTGCTGGCGTAGGGGCTCTAAACTGGACGCGAGGTCCAGGCAGAGTTTAAAACCCCTGTCGGATGCGAAGAGCAACCACGCCTTGAGCAACCACGCCTTGAGCCACCACACTTGGCTACCGCCGCGAACTCGCAGAGCTTCCTCGCGATATACATCAAATAGCATGCGAGCGCGGCGATTTCGCATTCCGCGCGCGCGCGAGGGTGCGGTTTTAGCGCTCGTGATCATTCCCATTCGAACAGTCTGCTTCCCAGCTCTGTAGCTTGTCAATAGCTCGAATCGAATAGAGAAAACCAAATCCCCCTATCTAAAATTTGCAGAGCGCAGAAAGTGTTTAGTCGCAGTTCTGGTAGCAGACCGATCTCAGCTGTCTATCTACATGCTTTCAACTAGCGCTTCTCAACACTTCCTGCCGAATGGTGCATATGTCAGCTCCTTTTCTAGCCTACAGGTCGACTTGAATACAGAAACCGAACATCATCTCTCGCAGAAAATTACAGAGTGCAAGTAGCTCTTCAGTTGTAGCTCTGGTAGCACACTAATCTCAGACGTCTCGATACTGTAGACGACTATGTCGGATGATTTCCTCTTGAGCGGTGTGCCTCCCAGCTTTCTACCTTACCTGTAACTCGGATTAAGTGCAGAAATCCAACACCGTCTCTCGTAAAACCGAAAGGGTGCAATTTATTTGGTCGCAGCTCTGGTAGCAGAACGATCTCAGGCGTCTAGATATTTGAGACTGGTGGTTATCAGCATTCCCTGTCGATTGGCGTGCATCTCAGCTCCTTAGCTGGCCTAGCTCTCGAATCCAATTGGGGAAACGCACATCATCCCTGGTACATGTTTACGGGGCGAATAATGTTTCCATTGCAACTCTCGTTGCAGGCCGATTTCAGACGTCTCGAAACCTCAGGCGAATGCGCCTGCTGATGTTCTGTTTTGCAAAGTGCTTCTCAGCTCCACAGCCAGCCTACTGCTCGAATAAGATAGAGAAAACTAACAGCATCTCTGGGGGGAAGAGAGAGAAAATGTTTGGTCCCAACTCTGGTAGCAGACCGATCTCAGGCATCTAGATACTCAAGACTAGCGTTCCCGATGATTTCCTTTGCCATTGCTGTGCCGAAGAGCTCAGTAGCTCATCAGCAGGTCGAGTGAAGTTAGCAAACCCGACAGCAGCTGCCAAGATGGCACTCAACAGCCGATGCCGCCTGAGTGCATTCCGATAGTAATATCCACCCGATCGACCTGATATTAAGATGACGAGCAGGAATGAGATCGAAGATGGGGGAAATATTGGAGCTCCAACTAACTTGACTTTCGAGAATTTGTAACCGACCGAAATTATTTTCAAAAATTAACTCCGTCGGTATTGTTCGAGCCAACTAGCCAGCCAGCGCGCCAGAATTACGTCTAGCTTCGCCGCTTCGCTCTTAGGGAAGCTCTACGAGTCATGATTGCACTAGCCTGCACTTGCTCAGCTCGGGGGAAGACGGAAAGACCCCGCTTCCTGGCACGCATGCCCCCAAGCTTCTGCCCAGGATCGAGGGGGCGCCATCATCGTCGCCGTCGCGTTCGCCCCTTAGTCCATATTCTCGCCTCGGCCTCTGCTTCCCTTAGAGTCAAGTCTGCTTTACGGTAGAAGTTTCGACCTCTTCCGGGATCAACAGACTCGGACGCGCTTGGCCACTGATGCCTGCCAAAAAACCTATACATATCAAACTTTACCTCGGCGGTATGAACGCGGCAAGGCTGATAGAATGGCGGCGTTACACCACCACCCTCCTGGACACAACCCCAGGCGCGGCGCAAACACCCCGCTCCCTCGGATCTCCACTGACTTTCCAGGCGCGCACCTGCTGCGCTTCTCGAATTCAGGGCATGAGGGTCTAACGAGCGCTGAAATCCAATCCAAAGTCGCCCCTCTGCATAAGACTTGGGCGAGGCCAGAAAATACACGGCCGGAGTACTGTCCGAATCATCTCCAGAAAATAGGGACAGCACCATTTTCTGCTCTCTCGCGCGTTACTGTGGACAGCAGAAAAACTGGCGTCATGGTCCGTCTGTGCCGAGGGCACGAGCAGCTGAAATCCGCGCGCGAGTTCCAGCCCGCCGCCAAATAGCTCACAAGCCATCGGGTACGCGCGTCAGCGAAGTCGTGCCGTCATTAGCGTACACACCCGCAGCTCTGGACTGGGAACCGGCGGCAAACCGTCAACCTGGTTACCGCCGGGACCTCGTAGAGCTCTTTTCTTGCACGGCGCTTCTCGGAACACATGAAGGAAGCTTCTGAAGCGAGAGCAGAGAATCTCGGAAATCACCTTTTTCTGTTTTTATCCAACGTCGGTTGCTCCAAGTGTTTTGGTAGTAATACTGCACCTTTGGGCCTGAGAATTTCATAGGCGCACGCGTCACAACCCACTACAGGTGCGAAAAATCTGGTTTCTCAATATAAACTAGGAGCCGGCGGTAAACCGTCAAGCAGGTTACCGCCGGGAGCCTCGTAGACAAGGCGCTGATCGGAACACACGAAGGAAGCTTTCTGAAGCATGCGCTGAAAAACCCGGCGAAACACGTTTTACGGTTTCTACCAAAGACAGTTCCCCCAATTGTTGTAATAGAAATATTGCAGCTACCGACCTGAGAGTTTTACTGCAAGACGCGGCATAACCTACTCCAGGTGCGAAAAATACCGGTTCTCAAAACGAATTTCAAAATCTCTCAGAATCTCCGAAAAACCGACCCCAGGTTGACACTGGGCGCCGGCGGTAAACCGTCAACCTTTGTTACCGCCGGGGGACTCGTAGAGTCTCCTTGCCATGTATTATGTCCAAAGAATTGGCAGAGAACGAATAGTTGTGCGGCCTCCGCTCATAGCAGACTCGAATACAAGACTGAGTTCAGAGCTCTAGATGCAACAGACGCACGCGCCTGATGACGCAGAACCGATTGATGTGCGACGAGCTCTGTGGCTCTCCTACATTTCGAATTAAGTACAGAAAACCGACAGCATCTGTCAAGATGACTCGAATACTACGAACAGGTTCAAGGACCTAGCTCGAGTAGCAGACCGAATTCAGACCTCTAGATGCAACAGATGAACGCGCCTGACAATTTCGAATGAGTTTCTGAAGTATCATTTTTGTAGCTGTCCTACAGCTCGAGTTAAGTCCAGAAAACCGACAGCACCTGTCGAGATGACTCGAATAATACGAATAGGTTCGTGGACTTAGCTCGACTAGCAGACCGAGTTCAGACCTCTAGATGCAGATGAACGCGCCTGATGAGTCTGGATGGGTTTTCTATTAATATCAGCTCTGTAGCTGTCCTACAGCTCGAGTTAATTACAGAAAACCGACAGCACCTGTCAAGATGACTCGAATAATACGAATAGTTTCGCGGGCCTAGCTCGGGTAGCTGACCGAGTTCAGACCTCTGGATACAACAGACGAACGCGCCTGATGATTCTAAGAGGGATTCTGTTAATATCAGCTCTGTAGCTGTCCTAGAGCTCGAGTTATGTACAGAAAACCGTCACCGCGTATCAAGATGACCCGAAACGGCCGATCCCGCCCCTGTGCTTTTTGGCAGATATCTACCCGATCGATCTGAGATTAAGACGGCGGGCGGGAATAAGATCGAATATCACGGGAAAAAATACTAGAGCTCAAACGAATTGTTGAATTTCGAGAACAAAATTTTCAACCGACCAAAAGTCACCAAAAAGGTCCGTCGAGATTTGTCTTGCCAACTGGGCGCCGGCGGTAAACCGTCAACCTTTCTTACCGCCGGGGGACTCGTAGAGTTTCCTTGCCATATATTATGTCCAAAGAATTGGCAGAGAACGAATAGTTGTTCGGCCTCCGCTGATAGCAGACTCGAATACAAGACTGAGTTCAGCTAGATGCAACAGACGCACGCGCCTGATGATGCAGAACGGATTGATGTGCGACGAGCTTGGGGCTCTCCTACATTTCGAGTTAAGTACAGCAAACCGACAGCATCTGTCAGGATGACTCGAATAATACGAATAGGTTCACGGACCTAGCTCGAGTAGCAGACCGAATTCAGACCTCTAGATGCAGCAGATGAACGCGCCTGATAATTTCGAATGAGTTCCTGAAGTATCATTTCTGTAGCTGTCCTACAGCTCGAGTTAAGTCCAGAAAACCGACAGCACCTGTCGAGATGACTCGAATAATACGAATAGGTTCGCAGACATAGCTCGACTAGCAGACCGAGTTCAGACCTCTAGATGCAACAGATGAACGCGCCTGATGATTCTGGATGGGTTTCTATTGATATCAGCTCTGTAGCTGACCTAAAGCTCGAGTTGAGTACAGAAAACCGACAGCACCTCTCAAGATGACTCGAATAATACGAATAGTTTCGCGAACCTAGCTCGGGTAGCTGACCGAGTTCAGACCTCTGGATGCAACAGACGAACGCGCCTGGTGATTCTGAATCGGTTTCTGTAAACATCAGTTCTGTAGCTGTCCTAGAGCTCGAGTTATGTACAGAAAACCGTCACCGCGTATCAAGATGACCTGAAACGGCCGATCCCGCCCCTGTGCTTTTTGGCAGTAGTATCTACTCGATCGCTCTGAGATTAAGACGGCGAGCGGGAATAAGATCGAATATCACGGGAAAAAAAGATGGAGCTCAAACGAATTGTTGAATTTCGAAAACAACATTTTCAACCGACCAAAAGTCACCAAAAGGTCCGTCGAGATCTTTTCTTGCCAACTAGCTCTCCAGCGCCCCGGAATCACTCTTAAGCTTCCAGCAACGAGCTAAGGGAAGCTCTACGAGTTACTAGCTCTCCAGCGCCCCGGAATTACTGGGCGCCGGCGGTAAACCGTCAACCTTTCTTACCGCCGGAGAACTCGTAGAGCTTCCTGACCATAAGAATTAGCAGAGAACGGATAGTTGTTCAGCCCGAGCGCTAATAGCAGAGTGATCTCAGGCGTCTAGTGATATCCCATTGCTGTGCTGAACAGTTTTATAGCTCATCTGCAGCGTGTAGAAGATACCATTAGGGAGAAAATAGCAGAGTACGAATCCGTGTTTGGCGTCTGCGCTCACAACAGACCCAAACCAAGCGTCCAGATGCTTCGCGCTTCATGATGTCCTTCTGATTTTTCGGCCGAAGAGCTCTCGAGCTGCTCTGCAGCTCGTGTTCAGCGAAGAAATTCACCATCATTTTTGTTCCAAAAAAAAATGTCGGTCGAATACGAATAGCTCTGTGAACCTAGCTCGGGTAGCAGACCGAGTTCAGACCTCTCGATGCAACAGACGAACGCTCCCAATGCTTCTGCATCAGTTTCTGTGCGCACCAGCTCTGTAGCTCTCCTACAGCCCGAATTCAATACAGAAAATGGACAACATCTGTCAAAATGACTCGAAGAATACGACTAATTTTGCGGACCTAGCCCCAGTAGCAGCCCCAGTTCAGACCTCTGGATGCAACAGACGAACGGGGCGCATGATTCCGAATCAGTTTCTGTGCGTATGAGCTCTGTAGCTCTCCTACAGCCCGAGTTACGTGCGAAAACGGACAGCACCTCTTAAGATTACTCGAACGATACGAATAGCTTCGCGGACCTAGCTCGAGTAGCAGACCGATTTCAGACCTCTGGATGCAACAGACGAACGCGCCTGATTATTATGTATCGGTTTCTGTGCGTATCAGCTCTGTAGCTCCCCTAGAGCTTGAGTTGAGTACAGAAAACCGACAGTCCCTGTCGAGATGACCCCAGCGATACGAATAGTTTTGCGTACCTAGCTCGAGTAGCAAACCGATTCCAGACCTCTGCATGCGACAGGCATACGCGTCTGATGTCTCCAAATCGGTTTCTGCAATTACCAGGCCCTGTAGCCCCCCTAACGCTCGAGTTAAGTACAGAAAACCGACAGCACCTCTCAAGATGACTCGAACAATACGAATAGCTTCGCGGACCTAGCTCGGGCAGCAGACCGAGTCCGGACCTCTGGATGCAACAGACGAACGCGCCGGATGATTCTGAATCGGTTTCTGTAAGTATCAGCTCTGCACCTGTCTACAGCTCGAGTTAACTACGAAAACCGACAACGCCTGTCAAGATGACTCAAAACAGCCGATCCCGCCGGAGTGCTTTTTGGCAGTAACTGGGAACCGGCAGTAAACCGTCAACTTGGTTTTTGAGTTTGAGTCAGGGCGCGGACAGCTGTGACAGCTGAGCCCTAAGACTCCCAAACGGAGCACAGGGTAGCTAGAGACGGCATCTCTTATCATCACACCGCCGAGCCACTGAGGCATAGGCAACGGAATAGGATGCAGGAACAAGGAAAAGGATGCAGTACAACATGTGAAATTGTAAAGGTGTTGGAGAGCTCCAAGCAAGATGAAGTGAGTCAGCTGCTTGGATGAAAGATGCTACCCAAAATGTGCTCCACGGCCACACAGAGCCGTTGTGCTCTTTTCTCGCGCGGCGATCCTCGGAACACTTGAAGAAAGCTTCTGGGGCGAGAAACGAAAAACTGGCGCCGGCGGTGAACCGTCAACCTGGTCTGCGATGTCTGCGTTGGCCGATTCGAGCTCCCAAGGGAGCAGGCCAGGACACAGAGAACCTAAACAGCGAAGCTGCAAATATTAAAGCAGAGATGCATCAAGCAGCGAAGCTGCACGGAAATGCACAAGACTGCAAGTACACGAGACAACAACTAACAAAAGAATGAGTGAAGCAATGCAGGCCATAGATATGGAAGCAAAGCTAGAAGCAGCGAGAGACCATACAGTAACCACTGGTTTATACAGCGATTACCGTCTCAACACCACTGAGACAAACGCGAAACTAAGAGAACTAAAATAGCGAGTGCGCTTCAAAGCAATGCGAGACCATGCAGTAACCACATATAGCGATTACCGTCTCAGCACCACTGGAAGACCATGCACGTGAAACACAACGTCGAAATGTGGATTAGATAACGAATTAAACGCGCAACATACAGAGTGAGCCAAGACACCCACCACTACTTAGAGCGAATGCGGGCTCTTATCCGAACAAAGTGAAAATCAGGCGGAGCTCTTATTCAACACACGTGCATGCACGACAACACACACAGGCATGAATAAAGGCAACGCAATGACAAATCACAATAGTTCTAACTCGAAGTATGTGGAAGTCAAGTGCAATGAGTTCTGAACTCCACTCGAGGCGACGTATGACCTCAATATCAAAGACCTCAATATCAAGTACAATGAATTCCGAACTTCACTCGAGGCGAAATATGAAATCGGATGCCCAAAGACCTCAATATCAAGACATGCAACAGACGAACGCGCCGGATGATTCTGAATCGGTTTCTGTAAGTATCAGCTCTGTAGCTGTCTACAGCTCGAGTTAAATACAAATACCGACAACGCCTGTCAAGATGACTCGAAACAGCCGATCCCGCCGGAGTGCTTTTTGGCAGTACCTGGAAATCGGCGGTAAACCGTCAACCTGGTCACCGCGGGGAACCTCGTAGAGCTCCTTACACTAGTCAGAGTGCTCAGAACCGAAGTAGAATCATAAAATAAAGATTTTCCGAAAATCTTGATTTTCAATTTTTTTCGATGTTCATATTGGCTCGGTTCCGGGGAGTCAACCTTAATGAAATACATCGGGAGAGCTCAGCTGTTGTCAGAGAGAAGTTTATATGCCAATGCTCGGCGTAAAAATCTGCTTTCTCGAAATGAATGGTCAAATATCCTTCAAATCTCAGCAAAATCGACCGAAAGTCATCACTTTGCCCGTTCTGGCCGGGTCGACCAACTAGCTCCACCCCGCGCCGGAATTCCTCTAGCTCATCGATGCCGAAGAGCTCTACGAGGTACTCGAAAAATAACGTTTTTCAGTTTTTCTCCAACGTCGGTTCCTCCGAGTGATTTGATAGTAGCACTGCACCTACGGACCTGGGAATCTAACTGGCAGACGCGGCATAGCCCACTACAGGTGCGAAAAATCTGGTTTCTCAAAATGAATTGTCAAATATCTTTGAAATCTCCGGAAAAACCAACCTAAAGTTGTCACATTGTCTCCTCGTCGGGTCGACCAACTAGCTCCAGCCCGCGCCGGAATTCCTCCTAGCTCATCGATGACGAGCTCTACGAGGTATATCTACCCGATCGAGCCGAGATTAAGACGACGAGCGGAATAAGATCGAATATCACGGGAAATTGGTAGCGTCCAACTGGGAACCGGCGGTAAACCGTCAACCAGGTTACCGCCGGGCACCTCGTAGAGCTCATGTCTTGCACAGCGCTCCTCGGAACACATGAAGGAAGCTTCTGAAGCGAGAGCCGAAAAACTCGAAAAATCACGATTTTTCGGTTTTCATCCAAAGTCGGTTCCTCCAAGTGTTTTGATAGTAATACTGCACCTACGGACCTGAGAATTTGACTGGCAGACGCGGCATACCCCACTCCAGGTGCGAAAAATCTGGTTTCTCAAAATGAATATCTTTCAAATCAGAGCAAAACCAACCCAAAATTGACACATTGTCTCTTTTGGTCGGGTCGGCCAAATGGAACCGGCGGTAAACCGTCAACCAGGTTACCGCCGGGGCCCTCGTAGAGCTCTTTTCTCACACGGCGCCCCTCGGTAAACATAAAGGAAGCGTCTGGAGCAAGACCCGAAAAACTCGAAAAAACACATTTATCTTTTTATCCAAAGACGGTTCCTCCAAGTTTTTTGATAGTAATACTGGGCGCCGGCGGTAAACCGTCAACCTTTCTTTTTGCTTTGCGCAGAGCCACAGGCCTGAGTTCAGGCCCGCTCGAGTCACAGCCCAACGCAGATGGGGCGGAACAGGCCAAGCGCCCGAAAGACCGCCGCCACACCAGTCATGAGGTGCTTTGCAACAAGAAGATCAGCCTGGGTCACTGCACACGAGAGCGGAAGAGGAGAAGCGGGGCCAACCAGATGATTGAGATGAGCAGGAAGCGTTAGAAGCATGTACAGAACGAGAACTGAGCCACCGCCCCAACCTTCAGAAGAACGGCCTCCATCAAAGAAGCCACTCACTCCGAGAACGTCCAAAGCGTTAATTGTAGATGAACTGTACTGGGGTTGCCCACACTGCCCCGAAACCAGCACCACCGACGTCGCGCCAGTGAGCAGGCAAGCAAAGGTATGAGACAGAGAGAGTCTGCAAGGTACGATGTGCAAAATAACACTGCACATATCTCTTATGAGCCCAGAAGCGGGGAGCGAAAGAAAGCCAGCGGGAGAGCGGGGGAGCCCAAAGAGACAAAGCGAGCCCACAAGCGAAAGCAGCAAGGGAGAGAGGGGAGCGAAGAACAGCTGGGACTCAATCACAAGGTGAGGCATGTCATACACCATTTCAACAAATGATATACAAGTGAGAGGGCTCATGCATCACCGAACACACGCGACATGCAGAACAAGAACCCCTGCAATGATCAAGTGCGCAAACGAGCGAGAGTACATCTAACTTTGCCGACCGTCTTCCCAGATCCTCGCCACGTCACGTCTTAGACGAGCAACGACCGACTCAAGAAAATCATTCATGAGCTCTTCATCGTGGAAAGCACCATCCCAGATCTCGCTACACTCGAAAGCATGCCACATCGTGACCCGATTTTTGCAGCAACTCCTCCACCGTCCTCCACATCCCCGCGAAAGTAACTCTATACAGGAAATGAAGTCTACGCCGAGCACCTCATCCCAGCCCGCTGCAATCAGACAGCCCTCGAAGTACGAGATATCCGCATGGGAGTAGCCTCTGCCCAGAAGACGTTGAAGCATATTCAACTCTTGGAATGTACGGGGGTCCGTGTATTGAAGAGGTTCACTGCCTGGAGCACTACAGAGCGCCTCGAGGTCCAAACCACGTTGCCACTGTTGCCAGGCAGAAGCAATAGCATGCCTGTCCGTAACAATCGGCCGTTCAAAGCAATATTTTCTGATCCGAAGGTTTCTTGGGACGAGCTCCACTGTTGTTTCAACATCAACAATCGCGTCGGGTGCTTGATTCTGCTGCGAGTCATCCTCATCCTCTTCCATCACCTCCTTCTCCTGCAAAGCCTCCTCCTCCTCCTCCGCCTCCGCCTCCTCGCATTCTGACAACGATGACACCGGCGAAACGGGCACAGCAGGAACGCGTGAATCGGGCACATCATGATGTGAAGAGACCACCACATTCTGAGGAACTCCCACATTCTGGAAAACGCCCACGGCTGGAATAAGAGACCCACCAATCTGGGAAACTCCCACATTCTGAGAAACTCCCACATACTCAGAAACTTCCACACATGGAGTCACGGATTTGACTGCACCTGGTCTGCAACTAGCACCAAAGTGGGCACGGAAGCTGGCTTCACAATCGGATCAGCCTGGACTGCGGCTGGCACGGTAGCTAGTACAGACGGAACGGACACATCATGGTGCGTAGAATCCTCCATTCCCTGTCTCTGCAAATGATCTGAGCCTGCCCAAGTCAAAAGGTTACACGTATCAACATAAGCAACTTCAGTGGTCAGATGTATTTCCTACTTCTCATATGTCTGAACGGTCTTCGGCTCTGGCACCGATAAAGCACTCCACAAAAGATTATACTGCTCCTCCGAGTTCCTCTGAGAATAATCGAGATTATCGCACCAACCAAACGCGGGAAAAGTGCTCGGAACAGTCGCAAAGTCTTGATCTCGAGCATGAAACTGCATAACGTCAAATACAGCTTGTCTACACATCGCTAGTTTGATTATCCTCGTCTTTCTTTTTCAACTAGTCGAAACAAAATCCATCATACAACATTGCAGTCAAGATGCCGCGCAAGCAAGAGACACACAAGAATAACAATAAGAACTGTCGTATACACTCTGTAACGTGTCCCGAGCTCACTACACACCACGGCAGATCGAAAACTGGCACTCTGAGATGACAAGCAACACAAGTTCGCAAACCGCAGGATCAGCTCAGCTGACCTGGAAGCGCCCGTCGATAGAGCACGCGTCGCCGCTGCGCGAGAGATGGCCGCCGCGCGCTCCGCAGAGCAGGTAGTACAATACACCAGTGTGTGAAACACCTGACCGCACGATGCGGCTCGAGGAGTCCCCGACGGGCCAAGGCCGCGGGAGAGCGGGAGGTAAGCTCCGCTCTCCCTTTTTTGCGTCTTTGCTGGACCGTCTTGGCCACTGACGCCAGGTCCAACGAAGTCTCAGGCGAATCAGAGCCTCTTATACGTCACGCAAGCAGTCAACTCTTAATGCACATCATCGAAGCTGTTGAAATAAAGAGAATCAAAAACCAGCAATGACAGAACCAATCGCATAGCAAACAAATGATAATCGAAGGACAAACTGGGATTCGGCGGTAAACCGTCAACCAGGTAACCGCCGGTAGCCTCGTAGAGCTCTGTTCTCGCGCGGCGCTGCTCGGAGCACACGAAAAACGCTTTCTCAATCGTGAAGAAAAAAGCTCGAAAAATGTGTTTTTTTCATGTTGCATCTTCGCTTCGTAGACCTAGCTCGAGTACCAGACCGAGTTAAGACCTCTCGATGCGAGAAAAGCACGCGCCGGGTGATACTGGATCGGTTTATATGCGCACCAGCTCTGTAGCTCTTCTAAATCTTCAGTTAAGTACAGGAAACCGACAGGACTTGTCAAATGACTTGAAGGATACAAATAACTTTGCGGACCTAGCTCGAGTATAAGACCGAGTTCAGACCTCTGGATGCAATCCACGAACGCATCTGTTCCCGATTGGTTTCTAAGTATGAGCTCTGTAGCTATCCTAAATCTCGAGTTAAGTACCGAAAACCGTCAACGCGTGTCAGGATGACTCGGCACAGAGTCCGTTCCCTCAAGTGTTTTGATGGTAATATTCCATCTACGGACCTGAGAATTTTACTGGCAGGCGCCGCATAACCCACTACACGTGGGAAAAATACCAGTTCTTAGAACGAACTTTCAAATTTTGCACAAAGATTAAAACACCGACCCCAAGTCGTCACATTGTCTCTTAAGGTCGGGTCGGCCAACTGGGCGCCGGCGGTAAACCGTCCACCTTTCTTACCGCCGGGGGACTCGTAGAGCTTCCTGAGAATATATAATGTGGAACAAAAGTTGCAGAGAACGAATAGTTTTCCAGCCCAAGCAATTTCAGATCTCTCGATGTAACAGCCGAACGCCCCCGATGCTTCTGGATTGTCTTCTTTACGAGCTCTGTAGTGCGAATCGACTCCTGTGATTACCACCCAGCCCGAGTTAAGTGCAGGAAACCGACAGCACCTCTCAGGATGACTCGACGACTAATAGTTTTGCGGACCTAGTTCGGGCAGCAGACCGAGTTCCGAGCTCTGCATTCGACAGGCGGACGCGCCTGATGTCTACAAATCGATTCCTGTGACCACCAGCACTGTAGCCCCCCTCAGCCCGAGTTGAGTGCAGAAAACCGAGAGCACTTCTCAAGATGACTCGAACAATACGAATAGTTTCGCGATTCTAGATCGGGCAGCAGACCGAGTTCAGAGCTCTGGAGTCAACAGGCAAATGCGACTGATGATTCTGAATCAGTTTCTGTGAGTATCAGCTCTGTAGCTGTCCTATAGCTCGAGTTGAGTACAGAAAACCGAGAGCGCCTGTCGAGATGACTCGAACAATACGAATAGGTTTGCGGACCTAGCTCGGCCAGCAGACCGAGTTCAGACCTCTCGATTCAACAG